CCACAGCCATGATGTCAAGAACAAGCCGGCGGTGACGCAGAGGCCCCAGGCCAGCACAGCGTCAGCGAGATGGAGGACCCGGGAGAAGAGCGTGTTGCCCCCAGCGGGTCCCCAAGCATTTGCTGTCCTGGCGGTGACAGCCCCCACGGCACACCCAGCCCAGAATCCTGCCAGGATCAGGGACCACTGGCCCTGCCAACCCTCGCAGCCCTCACCTGGGGTCTCTGCCCAGGGAAGAGCCATTCATTCTTAGCTTCAACCCAGAGGCCACCGAGCTGGGAGAAGTTACAAGAGGCCAAAACCAGAACTGCCCAGAGAAAAGTAAACGTCCACTTCCCCTCTTCAGCTCTCTCTCCACTTCCTGGGTCTGCGCTTCAGTTTCCTCTCCTGCCAAAGGGGTAGTAATCCTCTCGGAGGGCTGTTTTCAACATGACGTTAACGCATGCACACGCAGCAGTCAGTTCAGTGCATGTAGTGAATGGTGATGATCAGCCAGTCAAAGTCCTGTCGGTAGCCATGGAGACAGGAAGCCAGCTCCCTGTCCTGCCGCTAATCTGTAGTGTGACTTCAGCCACAGTGTGATCCCCACCCCACCCCTGGGGCTCTGCTTCCTCAGTTCTCCAAGGGGCTGAGCCAGGGATGTGCCGGCTCCTACCAGCCGTCCCGTTCAGAGGCCTGAGGGAACCTCCCTTTTCTGACTGCAGAGGGACTGTCCGCCCACGGGGAATAGGCAGGGCACGTGGAAAATAAATAAAGAGGGCGGAGAGGACCGAGAAGGACCACACGTGCAGGCTTGGCAGCCAGGTTTCATTTGAAGCCTAAATTCAGTTACACATTAAACCACTTAAACTTTTTGTTCCTCTCCAACTATTTTTGACCATCATGCAGGCATGGCCTCTTGTTCGCCAAGAACCCAGCGGTGGGAAGTGGTGCTTACTGAACTAAGGGGTAGGTGGTGCTTTTAAAAAAAAGCAAAATTAAGCATTGATGACATTTACTATATATATTGACTATAGCACATGACTAGAATTTATAAGTAAACATACGTACGTACAGAGTGTGCTCAGAACATTTTAGTGATGGAGCCTGTGGTTAGCAGAGCTCAGTGGCCACTGCCCAGCATCACTGTCCCGTCTCGCTGCCCGATCTGTGGTGCCCCTGCTCACCATGCTCTCACACACCTTTGTACCCACCACTGCCTCCATACCAGGGTGAAGTTAGCTATGGGTAATAGAATATTCAAACATGTACCTGAAAGAAGTTTGCTGTTCCCTCATATAAACTAATTCCAGACGTGAGTATCCCAAGGATGGTATGGCAGCTCCAAAATCATCTGAGATCCAGGCTCTTCGAGTGGATTGCTCTGCCCTTTTCAACCCATGGTTTGCAGCTCATGGCTAAAACTGGCTGCTTGAGCTCCAGACATTACATCAGCATTCCAACCAACTAGATGAAGGAGAGGGTGAAGAGAGCCGTGCCTTTCCTCACTTTAAGGATATTTCCGATTATTAGAGATAAAGAATGACATTTATTAATGATGGAGACATCGATCCACCAGGATATCACAACTCCAAATCGATATGCACTCCATAAAGTAGCTGCAAAATATATGAAGCAAAGTGAGCAGAGTTAAAGGATGGATACACAAATCCGCCGTCTTAGTGGGGGTCTGATATGCCTCTTTCAATAGACAGTAGAACAAGCAGGCACAGAATCAGTAGGGACATAGATGTTAGCACGTGTGACCTAATGGACACATAGAGCTTCTCAAACACACGCAAAGCATACACCGCAAAAATGGTACCTTAAGAAGTTACATACACGCCTTCCGCTTACATACCATTTGACAGCAGTAAGTCCGGGCTGCACCAGGCGGGAAGGAGGCTGGGAAGTGTCGCCTGCGGGTGGCCACGTGCCCAACCACAGTGCAGGGTTCCGGTCCTGAGGCAGCGGGGAGAACCGGTATTAGCGAAGCCAGCAGTCTCCGTCCTCCCCTCCCTCCTCCCCCTGGCAGCTCTGGTCCTGGTGGGTAAGAGCTGGGGCCGAGTCAGAAGCAGCTCACCCTGTTCTGGCTTTGCACTTCCTTGCTTTGTGACATGGACAGGTTAACCTGTCAAAGCCTCAGTTTCCTTATCTTGTAAAATGGGAACAACCTTACTTCATAGGGCTGTTGGGAACATGGAACAAGATTACACATGTAAAGCATTTAGTCCTGTGCTTGGCACATAATAAACGCTCAGTGTGCATTAGCTGCACAGAGAGGTTAAATAGCTTGCCTAAGGTCACAAAGCCAGAAAGTGACAAGGCTGGGTTTCACGTCCAGGCACCTGGCTCTCAGCTGGTTCTGACACTTCTTTCGGGCCTCTGTCCCCCCTCACATAGGGCCCCACGGCTGGCAGGGCTCCACGTAAGGAGCCCTGAGCAGGCTGGATGGGAAACTGCTACCGCCAGTTAGTCATGTGACTTGAGAGAAGTCATTTCAAAATGTACGTCTTCACTCAGACGTGTGTTAATTTCCTCCTTTCTCCTGCAAAAGGTTGAATGAACTTGAGCCCAGAGGTTTGCGCTGACCCTGACACTCCACAGAACCCCGTGGTCTGCCTTCTCTGCCACTGATGGCTGCAACTTTACCACTAGAAATGTGTTTCTTTTTGTTAAATCCTGTCACCTGCCTGAACTCTTTCAAAAATAGTTTCCTCCAGAGGGTCCCGACTCCTTGGTTTGCAGGTCTAGAGAAGGTTCTGGTGCCTGAGTCCAGGGGGCCCCGGTTGGGAGGGGACGGCCAGGCAGAGGGAGAGGAGGATGCAGACAGGAGAGGCTGGGCTCCAGCCCGCGGTCTACCTGCCAGTGGCCCTGGTGGCCCAGAGGGTCCCTTGTCAGGGCCTCCTGCACGGTGACCCTGTGAGAGCTCCCAGCTCGTCGCCTGGCCAACCTCATGTATCACCGTTTTTACTCTTTTTCATAGGCTTCCTTTTTTCTCCTTTCTGTGCTTTTCCCCCACCCTACCTCTCAGACTAAATCAGAGAAAAATGGGTTTTGTCTTTTTTTAACAAGGAGACTAAAAGTCTTAAATTACCTTCTTTGAGGTCTACAAATAGAAATCCCAAGGAAGACAGCCACCTCCTCTTTTCTCTCTTTCTCTCTCCCTGTCTCGGAGCCCCTGAGCTGGAAATAAAAGGCAGAGCGTGGCTCAGGAGGGAGTCATCTGGGCGAAGGCACCAGCCGTGGGGGCAGGGGCCGGGCGGTGGGGGGTGTCGGGGGTGGGGAGGAGCTGGAGGGGGGCCAAACCAAGGTCGCCCGTTGCTCTGGCTCTGGAATAAAAGGGGTCCCCCTAAGGGGCCGATTCCTTCACGAGCAGCTGCACATGAGTGTCAGAGCGTGTGAGCAGGTGCCCGGGGCCGAGGAGGCCCGGGAAAGAAGAGACCACAGAGGCTGCGTCGGGATTTACTGAGACGCAGGCAGGATCCCCGGCACCGTGAGCCTTCACCTTCTCATCCCGCTGAGGCGCGGTTCCCAGAGAGCCCGCCAGCGGGGGTCAGGACGAGGAGAGCGAACCGGGTTCTGGGCAAAGCCTGGAAGTTTTAGGGCTGGAGGTCTGGGTTCTAATCCTCGCCACATGTAATAATGGTAGTCAGCGGTGTTGCGCCCCTGCCCCGTGCCAGGGGCCATGGGCCGCGCCTCGCGCACATCATCCCATGTAATCTTCAGAGCAACCCCGCCACGTGGGCGTCATCATTCTCCCCGGCACAGGTGAGGACACCGAGGAGGGGTGGTCACATAACTCACCCAGGTTCCCACGGGCCCTGAGACGGATCAGGGTGTGACCCCGGGGGCCAGACCCCAGAGCGCTTGTCTTCCTCTGCCAAACCACTCGGCCTGCCGACCCGCGTCCTCCCTTGGAAAGCCGAGGTGCCCGGGACGGGTAGGGTGGCCTGGGGGGTCATTGGGTCCTTTCCAGCGTGGATGCTCTGGTTTGGGCTCTTGCCTCCGCTGGGCGCGGAGGTCCTGTTCAGTTGATTCCACTGCAGGGCAGTTCCTCCGAGCGTGTGTGTGTGTGTGTGTGTGTGTGTGTGTGACTGTGAGTGTGAGCAGGACCCGTGAGCTTGCGCCCTGCAGCCCCGATGAGACGGGAGAGAATGAGGACACGACAGGACAACACGAGGTCGGTAGGGAGACTTGCAGGTTAGACCTGCGTCAAAAGGGCCAAACCACGAGCCACAGGTCTAGAAAGTTCGGCCCAGGCCAGCTCCGGCGTGCGTCCAGTGGCCTTGGCATTTCCCTGCCCTCTGCTCCAGGCTGCATGCCCACAGCCTCAGAGCCCAGACAGGCGGGTGAGGCCCCTGGAGGGCACCTGACCGAGGAGCCTGGCGTGAGCAGGCGGGCCACCTCCACCGACCCCTGACCACACGTGTGTCTTCCCTGCAGGCCCAGCCACCATGGCCCAGTGCAAGGCCGAGCCGGACGACTGGCTGACCGTCTACCTGAAGTACTTACTCTTTGTCTTTAACTTCTTCTTCTGGGTAAGTGAGCTCGTAGGGCGCCTCCCACCCCCTCTGCTGGCACCTCATGCGTCAAGCCATCCTTGTTTTCTGTGAGTCACTGCTCTGGGGTGGGTTTTTTCCAAATCAAAGACCACCCAGGGGCAAATTCTGCCCACTTTAAAGCTAATGTGTACAGTTGCTCCTGAGGGGGAACGAAGGACGAGGCAGGCTGGCATGGAGCCCCTGGTACCGCGCGGCGTCCTCCAGCTCCATGTCCGCCCAGTACGCAGAGTCCAGCTCGCCCTCCCCTGCTGATTTGCGGCTCCAACGCCTGGTGGGACATGTGACGGCCGGAAATAACTGTTGGTTTCCTCTGAAGCCCATTTGCCTCCCATGGTTCACATTCTCCAGGCTTGAGGCAGAGAAACGCCAAGTCCTGGGGGCACCCGGGCTGCCTCTGTGCTTCAGAAAGGTCTCTGTAGCGAGTCCCCTCAGGAGACTGCCCGGCCAGGTCGCCCAGGAGGAGAGGAGTCTGTCCCCTTGAGGCAATTGTCAGGGTAACTGGGAGCAGAATACCCTCAGCTCCCCCAAAACAGGCAGAAGCTGGAATGTGTGTGTCTTGTCTCCCGTCCTCACTGAGTTTGGAGAGGCCGCCGAGTGCCGAGTGCCGAGTGCAGGTGCTGGGGTCGCCGGACCGGCCCAGCTGGTTACCCGTCACGGGACCACAGGCAGCGCACTCACCTGGCGAGCCTGTGTCCCCAGCTGGAGGAAAGTAACTCTGCAATGACCAGCCTGCTTTTCTGCCTAATGCCACTTCCTTGTTCGCGCTCCCCTCTGCCCGTGAAAGTCTTGCATTTGGAACGACTCTCAGAGGCCTTTGTCATCTGCTGAATTGGATGCTGCCTGACTCCCACTGAGTTTTGCGCAAATCAATGTGAGATTTTTACTGTGCCTCAGTTTATCTTTTAATGGTGTGTTTATCGGGGAGGGTATATATCCCAGTGGTGAGTGTGTGCTTGGCATGCAGGAGGTCCTGGGTTCGATCCCCAGTACCTCCATTAAATAAATAGATAAAAAAGACAAACAAACAAAAACTAAATAAATAAATAAACCTAATTACCTCCCCGCTAAAAAGAAAGCCCAAGGAAAAAAATAATAAAATTTTTTGAAAAATAGTGTGTTTAGCAGATGCCCTGAAATGGTGTATGTGAAGTGCTTAATTCAGTCTCTGCACACAGAAGGCGTTCAATAAATGCAGTATGTTGGAAATATTAGAAGTAGAGATGTCACCAGATCAACCCGCTGGTTCCTGCCTGCCGGGGCCAGGGACGCGCGGCTGGCAGCTTCTGAAGGCAGAGGGAAGATGGGCCGGGCCTGCGTTTTCAGAGTCTTTCGTTCAAGACTGACGCCTCCGCTGCGTCCTGGGCAGGGCCAGGCGCGGCACTTCGAGGCTGGTGGACACAGCAAGGCAGGGGCCTCGAAGAGCCTTGGACACTGGACACTCATCTGGTGCTGTCTGTTCGAAAGCTGGACAGCTTGATGTTTGCTTAAATGCTTTTTGGAAAGTTCCTGAAACGAGCAATAAACTTACTTTATTTGCAACTTTTCCTTCCTGGGCAAGCGCTTCCTGGAACAGTGAGGCCATGTCGATGGAGATAACGAAGCCGGGCTGACGAGCTCAGTGGGTGTGACGAGTGTCCGTCCTCAGAGGTGCATCCAGCGGGGTTTAAGGATTCTTTCTGAGTGGAGGATTTGTTTTTTAAGAAGAGATGTGTTTTTCCTGACCATAAACATCCTACGTATCCACGCCAGGTCATCTCTAAAATGCTGAAAAATGTAACTAAGAAAATTAAAATGCCTGGATCTCAACCAAAATGTCTGGTCTCGCAGCTCTGGAGGCAAAAGACCGGAGTCCAGGGTCAGCAGGGCCGTGCTCCCGCTGAGACTCGGGGTGGCCCCTTCCATGCCACATCCGAGTGTCTGGGGTGGCGCCAACCCCGCAGCCCCGGCCTGCGGCTGCGTCGCTCCAGCCCCAGCTCTGTCACCACACGCTGTCTTTCCTGCATGTCTCTGTCTTTACGTGGCGTTTTCTCCTTCTTAAAAGGACCCGCTCACATTGACGAGGACCCGCCCTAACGCCTCATCGTAACTGGTTACATCCGTGAGGATCCTCTTTCCAAATAAGGCCCCGTTCACAGGGCCCGGGGGTGAGGACACTAACAGCTCTCCACCCGGGTGGCCACAGCACCCTCATCCTCAGGTCACGGGCGGGAGCCGCCTCACCCGGCTCAAGAGTCCCGCCCAAGGTCTTGTCGTGGTGACGGGCAGAGCTGGCACTGACACCCAGGCTCACTGGTCAACAGTAACTGAAAACCTCGTTCCGCAACGTGTATGAAGCACACGCTGAGCGTCAAGCACTGCTGTCGGGCGCGGAACACGTCTGTGGACAAAGCTCCAGCCGGCACGGCACTGACTGCTGTCGGCCTCCTCTGGGCTGTGCTTCCACGTACATCATCCTGTGTGTGTATTGTTAGAGAATTTTTCTGGACGTATAGCTGATTTATAATGTTGTGTGAGTTTCAGGTGTACAGCAGAGTGATTCAGTTATACGTATGTATATATATTCTTTTTCAGATTATTTTCCACTATAGATTATCACAAGACACTGAATATAGCTCCCTGTGCTGTGCAGCAGGTCCTTGTTTATTCGTTTTATATATAGTAGTGTGTGTCTGCTAATCTCAAACTCCTAACCTGTTCCTCCCCTCCTTTTTCCTTTGGTAACCATAGTTTGTTTTCTATGTCTGTGAGTCTATTTTTGGCTTATAAATAAGCTTATTTGTGTTTTTTGTTAGATTTCACATACGAGTGTTATGATATAATATTTGTCTTTCTCTGTCTGACTTACTTCATTTAGTATAATAATCTCTAGGTCCATCCATGTTGTTGCAAATGGCATTATTTCATTCTTTTTTATGGCTGAGTAGTATTCCATTGCATGTATATACTGCATCTTCTTTATCCAGTCATCTGTCAAAACTTAGGTTGCTTCCGTGTCTTGCCTACTGTAAATAGTGCTACTGTGAACACCGGGGTGCATGTGTCTTTTCAAATTAGAGTTTTCTCCAGATATGTGCCCAGGAATGGGATTGCTGGATCATACAGTAACTCTGTTTTTGATTTTTTAAGGAATCTCCATACCGTTCTCCATAGTGGTTGCACCAATTTACATTCCCAGCAACAGTGTAGGAGGGTTCCTTTTTCTCCACATCCTCTCCAGCATTTATTATTTGTAGACTTTTTGAAGATGGTCCTTCTGACCAGAGTGAGTCATTGTAGTTTTGGTCTGCATTTCTCTGATAATCAGCGATGTTGAGCATCTGTTCATGTGCCTGTTGGCCATCTGGATGTCTTCATTGGAGAAATGTCTGTTTAGGTCTTCTGCCCATTTTTTATTGGGTTGACATCACCCTGTGTAGTCCTCCCAGTGACCTGAGACTGTGATCGGCTCTATTAGAGCCCCATGGTACAGAGGGGGAGCCATTTGCCCCAAATCCCAGAGCTGGAGTCCACCTCTCTCTGACCCCTAAGCCAGTGTGCTTGGCCGTCAGGCTCCGTTGCCTCCAGCACTGAGTCCTGCACATTCCCAGTGTCTTTGGATTAACTAGTGAGGCATCAGAGCACGTAGGAGAGACTTGGGCTCAAGTTCAGGTTCAAATTCAGACCCCATTGTCTATCTGCCATGGAACCTTAGGGGTGGGCTGCGTTATGACCCACTAAGATGCCTGTGTTGAAGCTCTAACCCCCAGTGTGACTGTATTTGGAGACAGGGCGGTTAGGAGGTAACTAAGATTAAATGAGGTCGTACGGGAGGGGTCCTGATCCGACAGGACTGCTGGGTTCACCAGTGGAGGAAGAGCAAGCTCTCTGGAAGCATGCCCAGAGGAAAGGCCGTGTGAGGACACAGGAGACAGCCGCCTGCAAGCCAGGAAGGTCCTCCCCAAAATCGAACCAGCCACGCCTTACTGGGGGGCATCCAGCCTCCAGACTGTGAGAAATAGAAACAAACGTCTGTTTTTGACGCCGCCCAGCGGTGGTGTTTACTGCGGTGACCAGAGCGGGCGAACACGCCGGGCGGGTCACTCCATCTCGCTGAGCCCTCACTTTGGTCATACGTTAAATGGGGGTGTCAAAACCTATCAGAGTTAAAGATTAATATTTAGAAAAACATTTTGCACAGTTCCTGGCACCTCTGGTGCTAAGCTGTTCTGCGTAGCTATTATGGTTACACTAAGGGGAGTCCGTCACCCTAACGGCTTTGTCCGTAGCTCTGGCTTGAAGACTTTGGGGATCATGACCCGGGGCAGAAATACGGGGAGGCAAAAGAAACGCTTACAGGAAGCACCGTTCACAGAGCTAAGCCTTCCCTTACTGTGTGCGATGCTCTCTCATGTTTCTCTTCTTTTCTGTGGTGATTTTGTTTCGCTGATTTTTAGTGCAGGTTACGACCACCAGGTTGGCCTCACAGCCCTAAATGGCTACATCAAAGTCTGAAAACCCCAGAGCAGGGGGGTGGGGGCGGCCCCACCCCCACCCCAGGGTGGGCAGGACTCAGGTCTCCCCCAGCGGCCACCACAGCACTCTGAGGGGCCTAGATCGTCTCGCACCCCACAGTGATCTACAACCAATGAAGATCCGAGACGGTCGTCCCTCCTGTTTCGTAGATGCCGAGACGTAAGCTGAGGCGATCGGCAGGGTTCTGTGTCACTTCTGCGTTTTCTGACTCTAAGTCCGGCATTCTTCCTGTCTCCAGAGACCACTGACTCATAATCCCAGCCTCGGGCCCACCGCTCTGATGCTTCCTTGGAATCCAGAATGTCCCCAGGGGCCAGGGGCGAACGCGGATTAGGGCGTTTGGATGGTGTGGGCAGCCCAGACACGCGGAGTGTGAACAATACAAGCAAAGCTTAAGTAGCATCACGAGACACGTCCCCATCCTGTATCTAAACTCCGCTCGGCCCGTGCCTGACCCCTCGTTGTCCACCACCACCCTCTCCCTGACTCCCACCGCACCCCCACCAGGAAGTTCTGCCAGCCCAGGGCTGGTCCTGACCGTCTCGCTGAATTCCCTTGGATGTAGCTCTGGGTCAGGAACCCAAAATGCCAACACTTTCATGACCCTAAAAAGAAACTGTGACCCAGGCTTCCTACGTGGCCGGCTCGGAAATGCTCTACCTCCCCCGCCCTGGCCCCGTTTCCTGCAGAAGTCCCTGCAGCCCCGTCTCCCCTGCGGTGTTGTTCTCTAATTTATTATTTTAATTAGCTGCTTGACTGTGTTAATAATCAAAACGTTCCCAGCCTCCCAGGAGCTGTGCAGACTGCGGGAGCACCAGCGAAGCAGCGGGTCCCTTGCCGGGAGCGGCAGCCTCTGCGCCGGAGGCTCGGTCCCGCCCTGGGGCCGCGCCCCTCCGGTGGCCGCCCGTGGGGCTCGACCTGCAGGGAGTCCCTGGGACCCCCTAAAGAGTACATGGCCAAGCTGGGAGCCAGCGACGATGGAAGACTCGCCCAGCCAGGGGAGCCGGGTGGCTTGAGGGCATCGCAGAACCGTGCTGGATTCCTGGGGAGGGCCTGGGGGGAGGGCGTCTGCTCGCTCCCAGGCTGAGGGTAGAAGCCTTCGCTTTGTGCGTTGTCGTCCCACCGAACGTGGCCTCTGCCCGCCTCCTGAGGCAGGTCGTCTGAGAAAGAACACCTGAGGGGCCCCTTCCTGAGATGCCTAAGTCACGGGACCCCCGCGGTAACCAGGGCGTCCTGCCTGTCTGTGCTGCTGGGGAACAGGCTCCCACCTGAGCGGGGTGCACAGCCGGTCTGCCTGGGGCCTCGGCAGGGAGGTGGTCCAGGCGGAGGCCCGAGGTGGCTGCTCAGAAGCCCTGCAGTGACTTGCCCACTCTGCCCGCTTCCCAGCGGGTCCACAGCCTGAGGTCTCTCGGGACCTCGCGTGTGTGGCTGCTCAGACCGTATCCTCCCCACGTGTTTCCTTCCTATAAGTGGGAGTTCCTAAAATTACACGGCCTGGGTGACCTGGCCGCCCCTCCCGGCCTGCCTGTGTCCCCGCTGGCAGGAAGGCCCGCGACACCCACTGCTCGGGGTTCTGGCTAATTGGCTACAGGCTATGGTTTTGAAAAATTTACTTAATATTCCACAAGAAACCAACCCAGTTTCTGCAAAGAGCCAAATACTGTTGAATCAGCTCCATGCAAATAGCCGTTAGAACAGCTCACCGGGGTCATTTGGCTCCAGCCCCAGTCAGGCCTCCCTCAGCGCCTCTTCCCCTGGCCTTTCCGCTGACCTGGCGTCTCCAAATGGCTTGTCGGAAGCCATCAGCCTCTGGCCCTCTTGCTGGAGGCGTATTGGTGGATGGTCATCCCTGGTACCAACAAGGACGTGTCACCCACATGGAGGGACCTCAGAGCTTCCCATCCGGTCGTTTTACAAATGAAGAAACTGAAACTTCCAGAGGGTCTAGCTCAGTGGCACGCCCGGTCAAGGACACAGCCGGGGCTGGGACCCAGACCTGCTGCTCTCGTCCCTCCCGTCCTCCCTCCGGTGACCATCCTGTCTGGCCCAGTCTCACGCTCAGTCAAGGACACAGCCAGCGCTGGGACCCAGACCTGCTGCCCTCGTCCCTCCCATCCTCCCTTCGGTGACCGTCCCGGCCTTGGGCAGCTTTGACTCCTGTCCAGAGGAAAGATCGTTTCCTAAAGAGCAGCAGGTCCCTAGCAGGACGCCCCCTGAAGGACGTGAAACCTGCCGAAGCCAGCACCCTGACACAGAGGGGGAAGGGAGGGCGTTCAGTCCCGAGCCATCAGGAGCCTCCAGGCCGGGGGCCAGGGATTGGGTGTGACCTTGGGGTCCAGCCTGCTGGGGGATGAGACACTCTGAGCCCTGTTAACTAGGAAACCATACAGTAGTTCTCAGCTGGAACCACCTGGGAACTGGTAAAATATCGGTGCCTGGTCCCTCTCCCAGAGAGCCCTGTCACCTGGGGGGTGTTCAGAGGTCCCCGGGGTGGTGCATCCTGGCTGAGACGCTCTGCCTTAGAGAGAGTGAGGTGGACAGGGCCTCAGGTGCAAGGTTAGGCCTCAGACCCCAAACCTGAACGTGTTATTTTATGTGAATGGTGTTTCTCTGGACAACGTGTCCAAAGCCTCTTATCAGAGCCTCAGCGGGCTCCATGGCCCCAGCAGACTTAGTGTCCCCAGTGCCGTCCAGACCCGCCCCTTCTGTGGCCCCAGGTCCGATGCTAAGGCTGTGCGGTCGACAAGCGCAGTGGATAATGGACAATGTACATATTTCTATAAAGACTCTGCACCCATTAAAAGTTAGATCCACCCCGTGTAGCCACATGACATCTCATGCTGCTCAGGATCTCTTCTTTGCGCTATCATACGCCTTTGATTAATAAAAAATGAGAAATGAATTATTACTTAATGCACTGTATTTGGTCGGCAAAAGCCCTCAAAACCTAAGATCCATGGGAAAAAGGAATCAAAGGGGTCCTTGGTGGTTACGGGTTGGGAACCACTGGTCTGATACACCCGCCTTATTTGAGAGATGAAGAAACTTAGGCCCAGAGAGTTTAAGGGACTATTTTCAGGTCACATAGCTGGTTATGCACAGTTGAGGCTCTCACCCAGCCTCCCAGCCATGCTCTACGGACAGAATTAGAACAGATGCAGAATGTTTTGCTGGAAACCCTCCCTTGACACAATCCCGTTGACCCAGATGCACGAAATTCCTCACGGGTCCTGGAGGTTGTGTGGCCAGAGATGGCCCAGGCTCACAGAGAACCGGAAAGCCTCCCAAAGTCCGGGATTCATCGAATCCAAGACACCGCCTCTCGTAAGATGCACTGGTGTCCTCTGTGCCTCTGGGTAGAGTGCCGCCCCGCCTGGCACTAGGGTGCCGTTCATCAGGAGCTGCATCTCAGCTTGAGAGATGCTAAAATGTGAGGGCAGAGCTGCCTCGTGGGACGGAGGCTGTGGCACAGCGTGCGGGGTCCTTCCACCTGCTTCTCCTGCCTGCTGGAGGTGCTAAGGGACAGAGAACGGCCCTTAGAAGAAAGCAGATTTATCTAAGCCACAGAAGCGGGTAGCGGAGCAGGCCCGCCCGGAGTGTGGGCTCCCAGGACAGAGGCCTGGACTGGCCCTGGCAGAGCTGGGTTCGAATCTCAGCCCTGAGGCTCCATGGGCGTCTTCTTGAGCCCCTCCTTATTCTCCCCAACCTCAATTTCTTTGTGTGCAAAACAGAAGGTGTGCGCTCAGGCCTCCAGGACTACCGCAGAGCTGGGAGGGGAACGCAAAAGGCCAAGCGGCGTAGGCGCCCGGGGCAGTCACGGCTCAGGAGCCTCCGTCCGCCCAGCTGGTGACCGCGCAGTGGCCGGGCCCATTATGCGGGGTCATCGGGGCAGTGAGAGCTCCTTGCAGGGACAGCACGTGTGGGCCAAGCTCAGTGGGGCCTCTCAGCTTTGGCCACACTCAGACCCCCTGAGGCAGCAGCAGCCGCCATCTGAGAAAAACTCATCCTCAGAAGAGGCGGGGAGACTGGGGGCCCGATGGAAGTCACAGGTCCCGGGGTCCTGCCCCTCCACCCTGGGCAGACTCCCCTGATGCTCTCTGTCTGGCACCTTGAGGACACACATGCACACATGTGCGCACATGCACTCACACACGCGCGCGTGCATGCTCACATGCACACGTGCACACACTCACATGCACACACACACACACTCTGCCCAGCGTAACAGCCACAGGAAGAGGCATTCAGCCTCGCTGCAGAGGGAGCGGGGCAGCTGAATTTCCCAGGGTCCCTCCCTGAGGACGCAGCCCGGGACCTGCCCCTGCTCAGGGCTGAGAGGCTCAGACAATCAGCAAGGAGGGAACCTCCCCTCCCACACAGTCCCCTGCCCTCCCAGAGTGACTCCAGCCTGCGGACATGGGTCCCTCCCATCTCGGGGGCCTCACGACAGGGACGCGAGGGCATCGTGGTGGGAAGCAGGGGGCTGGGAGTCAGAGCTGGATTCAGACTCTGTCCCTGCTTCTCCCCCGACCACGGACAAGCCTCCGTTTCCCCCTCTCCAAAATGGGCACCCAGATCTTCCCATGGGCTCCTCGAAGGACTACACGTGGTGACACCGGAAAGGTGCCCGGTACGTAGTGGGTGCTCAGACTGGTTTCCTGCAGGTGGGGGGCGCCGCCGTCATGGCCGTGGGCGTCTGGACCCTGGTGGAGAAGAGCGGCTACCTCAGTGTCCTGGCCTCCAGCACCTTCGCCGCCTCCGCCTACATCCTCATCTTCGCGGGCGCCCTCGTCATGGCGACTGGCTTCCTGGGCTTCGGCGCCGTCGTCCGTGAGGACCGGAGCTGCCTCTCCACAGTGAGTGCACTGCCCAGCCCGGCCCAGCGCCATGGGCGGAGGGAGGGCCACCTGCTCAGCCAATCAGGTTTCGGTGCTGAAAGTTCTGGCAAGTGACAGTGGCCCTGGCCTCTGAGGCCTGAGGAAAGCTGGGGAAAGAGGGGAGGCCGCCCGGGGCTCCGCTGTTTGCCAGGGTCTCCAGGTGCTTGAGACGTAAGCCAGGAGGGCATCTCGGTGGTGGTGGCAGGTCTGCTCTTCCTCCTCCTCCCCCTCCTCTTCTCTCCCTCCTCCTTCTTACTCCTCTTTCTCTGTCCAGATTTTATCTCAATGATTTTCAAAAATATGCAAAAATGAAAAGAATCTGATAATGAATCTCCACGTCCGTCCGTCTGTCACCCAGAGCCAGACGGCTCTGGTGTCATCTCAGAGCCAGTCCTGTTCACCTGCCCCCACCCAGCCCCAACCCCAACATCCCAAATATCACGTCGTCTGTACATATTTCACAGTGAACCTCGAGAACTTCAGCATCCTTTTTTTTAGCAAAGGTAATGACAAGACCGTGTCACACCTAAAAACAAAGGACATTCTTAAATGAAATAACCAGGCAGTTTCAGATTTCCCCAATCAACCCATAAACTCCTCTATATTTTTTTTCAGTGTCTTTGAGTCAGAATCTAAATGAGGTCTCTGCATTAAAGTTGGTCGGCTTGCCTCCCAGGTCTTTTAGTCTCTGAGCGCCCCCATCAATTTCTCTTTTTTTCCTTGCAATTAATGTGTTGAAGGAACCAGGTCGTTTGTCCTTTACTGTCAGCCTGGCCTTTCTAGTGCCGTCCAGCGTGTTCTGGGAGTTGGACTGAGAAGCTTGATCAGACTCAGGTGTGTTTGTTTGGGCAGGTGTTTCATGGGTGCTGTGGGCAGCAAGGCTCCTTGACGGACGTTCCCCTGGGAAGCTGGGGAGACGGGGGGACCCCCCCACCACTGGCTCCGAGTGTCAGGAGAGGTCAGGGCCGCGCTCGCAGGGGCAGGACTCCAGCCCCGACTCTGCCTCCGTGCACCTGTCCCCGGGCCGGCTCCCTTAATCTCCTCCTCAGCAACAAGCCAGTGCGGGCAGAGGCTACAGAGCACCCGGACTTAGAGAGGAAAAGCCAGGGTGGGCTCAGTCTGAGTCTCGGTGAGAGACCGGGTTAAGCCTGAGAGGAGTCGGGTGGTGGGAAGAAGCCTTGAGGGGCTGCGCCTCCCCTACCCTGCTTCCCGGGCCCACCGCCGACGCGGCCAGGGACATGTCGGCGCTGGAGGGACCGTGCCCCACAGCCTCTCTCGCCAGCCATGGCCTAGTTTTTAGCTCCGCGCGCAACAGCGTCTGTGTGCAGGCTCAGCGGGGTAGCTCTCCCCTGCCTAGAAAAAGCCCTTCATCCTGCTCTCAGGGACAGTGAAGCCGAGGTGCGGGCCACGGGGGTGGTGGTGCCGGCGAGTCAAGGCCCACAGGGACCGGCCACCAGAGCATGGGTTTGTTGTGAGCTCTCTTTCCAGCAGTAGGACAGGTGTTCCCTGAGCCAGCCTGTCCCCGCCAGCCATCCTGGGAGCCTGTGTGACACCCTCATCTGGCCAGTGTGCGCTGAATGAGGACACGTGACTGAGGGGCCGGACATGTGGGTGGCAGGGGGAGAGGTCCAGCCCTTAGGGGACTGAGGCTTACAGGGCTGCTGAGCCCAGAGAGAAAACCAGTCCCACCCCACCTTTGCCCTGCTCAGCCCTGCTCCCGTAGGAAGTGGGGCTTTTGCTTTGGCCTCTGGTCTCAGGCTGAGCCCTCTGGCCCCGGAGGCAGGCTGCCAGGTCTTCCTTCACACTCAGAGCCCTCTCTCTTGGTTCTAAAGGAGCCCTAAGGCCTGGGGCCCCCTGCAGCCAGGGAAGCGGACCCCTGCTTTCCATGCAGGGTGCAGTTACAACGCGGGGACCCACCTCCCCCCATCCTTACGGCGACAGCCCTGAAAAGTCACCACAGTCGTGACCTCTGTGCACCAAGTCCTGTTCCAAATGCCTTTGGTGCTGGTGCCAGCCCTCCCTTTGACAGGTGAGGACGCTGGGGTGCAGAGAGGTTAGGCCAGCGGCCCAAGGTCACCCTGCTGGTGAGTGGCAGGCCCCAGGCCCAGGCTCCCTTCGGCAGCCCAGCACTGCCTCCAGAAGGCATGACTCACCCCCAGCAGATGGGCGAGGACGCTGGCCTGGGGCATGTGGGCCCCGTGAGGGCTGGAGCTGCCTCGTGGATTCCACTCCGTTAGAATCACCTCCAGGAATCCGCGCCACCCGTGGAGCCCAAGCCTGCTGGAGGCGGGGTGGAGGGCCCGAGAGGAGATGCTGTCCTCTGCGTCTGTGGGGCCTGCGTAGAGCGGCTGCCCTCGGAGATCGGCGGGTGCAGACAGGCTCCCACAGGGCCCAGCCAGACCCCGGGGCAGGAGATGGGGTGCGACCTGGGCGCCCCCGCTCTCGTGGTACAATGCGGAAGTAACTGCGCACGAGCGGAGCCCATCCAGCCTAGAGGGGAGCTCGGGCCGTCAGTCCCAACACTCCCTCCAAGGGGCTGCAGGACCCTGGGGGCCAGCGTGGGCCAGTCACCTCGGCATCACTGGGGTGCTCGGTATCGGGGGCCGTTTCAGAGGGCTGTCCAGCCGTGAGGGTGCTTCCTCTCGCCGGTCTCAGAGACCAGAGAAGCCCAGGGTTCGGCCCTCCCAGCACTGACCTCAGCCTCCCCTTCTTAGGCGGTCCATTTGCAAGACCTGTCCCACCCTCTGGGCTGCGCCGGTAAGGAAACACGTCCCCAGCCTCCCCAGTCACAGCCTGACCATCGCTGGCCTGAGGCCCGCCCAGGGGTCCAGCCCTGTGCCCGGGGCTGTGCAGGAAGGTGTGGACAGACTCACGAAGGCCGGGGACGCGGCCTGGCCAGTGCACACCTCTCTCCCCGCCCTTCTGAGCTTCGGAGGGTCCACAGAGGGAGAGACCGTCTCATCCCCTAGGCCTGGAGGCAGGGCTGGGGTGCAGCCGGATTACTCAGGACAGGCTGGTCCTTCTCCTCAGCTCCCCGCCTCCGCCAACCGCGTTCACCTCCACCCCACACAGAACCGATGGCCTGTAGTCCAGCATGACTAACCAGACTCTTTAGGGAGGCGTCAGCTTGAAAGGTTAGGAGAAAGTGCACCTGTGGACGCACGCGCACGCACACACACGCACACACACACGCACGCACAGCTGCCCACCCAGGAGTGTGGACGGGGCTCACAGAGAGCACACCTCGAAGCCTAGAACCTTCTTCCTTTGCTTTTCCCTGCCCATCCCCTGAAAGAACCAAAGGCGGGACCAGCCCAAGGACAGAACACAGGTCGGGGCGGATTCTGAGTGATCTCCATGCTGGCCCGTCAGCCCCCGAGTTACCGAGCAGCTGACCGTTCACACCAAGAAGATGGCTGTAAAAAAAGGCTTTCCTTGGGTTCATACAAGGAGGAATCTTAAAACCTGGGCTCCCATTTAGAGACAAGTGGGGTGCTTAAGGCAGCTTGAAAGTGCTCTGCGGTTCCTGGAGGTTCCTGGTCTCATTTCTTGTTTCCCCTCCGTGTCTGACTTCTTTTGAAATCTTTCATCAGCCAAAGGCTGAAGAAAACTCCAAAGGAGAGATGCAGTGAGTCTGGCTCTGTACAAAGTGGTCCCTGAAGAGGAGGGGGAAGATGAAAGGCCAGGCTCTGAATGATGTGCGTCCAGCTTGGATCAGGAGGAGGGAGGGGCCTGGCATCAAAGTTCCCGTGAGCTGCCCGGCCAGGCCGGCCCAGCTCTCCCAGGCCCCGCGTCTGTCCCGGCCCCAGCCCCTCCTCCAGCAGGCCCTCAAGGTCACTTTCCCGAGAAGGAAGCGCTCCTCAGGGACAGGAATAGCACAGCCTCGCCGGTGCTGAAGTGACCATCAGCGCGGAGTCGGGAACCCGCAAAGGCGAGAGGGAGCGGGCTTTGAATTATTCACACCAGCTCTTCTTTTTTAGCGCAAGCTGCGTGAGAGCCGATAATTCGGGCCATCTCGGCCTGAGACCGATGAGCAGGACAGATGCCACCCTGATCAAAAGGAAGGGCTATTTTTAGAGTTTCAAATAGGGGCTCTGAAAACTTTCACATCTTCAGCCAAATGAAGATTAGGTCGGATGGTTGAGGCTATGCTGGGCCTTTGTTCGGGGCTCTTTTATATTTAGGGGATGGATTAAAAGGAGGAAGTTCTAGAACCAGTTTATGAAAATGAGGGGCCCCGGATGGCAACGCCTCCGCCGCATGCACCCGGACTCGGCTAACCCGGGCCCTACTGGAATCGGGGACTGCGGCTCAAAGCCGGTTGCAGGGCCGCCTGCGCAGCTGGCTCTGGGACCTCCACGAAGTCGCTCGGCCACTCGTGACCACCTTGGTGTCCCCGTCTCCCCGCGGGGGTGAGGTGTGGGGAGACAGGGAAGTATTTTAGGTCTTGCGAAACGAGTCACCACATTATATAAAGATCACAACATGTGGCTATAATTACCATTTACATCACCAGCACCAGCTCCTCGGAGAGGGAGCCTAAATACATGGAGCAAGGTACTCTCCGGGCCGCGACTCCCAGGGCCCCCAGAGCTGGGCCGGGCCACCGCCTCTGTGGAAGCTGGTCACGGAGGGGGCACGGAGGGTGTCTAGGTCCCCGTTCCCTGGGGTTTTGACCATGTCCTCCCCAGGCTCATTTCTCACCCACACGTTCCTTTGTCGCGGCCCCATGGGCCACCCAGCCAGGGTGGTCATAGCCTGGTCTGTTGGTGGCACTTTGATCTTTGGGTCACTGCCCACGTGCGTCAGAGGAAAGCATCCTGCAGCCAGGGCTAGGGGAGCCCCAATTCTGCTCCTTCAGAATGAGGGGGCCTCTCGTCGTCTGTGTGGCTTGGAGCAGGGAGTGGGCAAGAGGTCTCGGGCCTGGCTCTTCGGGAAGCAGGGTCTGAACGTCCCCATGAGCCGTCCTCATCCCACGTGGTCACCTGGGCCCAGCGGGGTCCAGTCCGGCCACACGAGAGAGGCCCTGGGCTGATGTCGGCTGTGCCCCTGCGCCAGGACCGCACGCAGTGGTCCGATGGATGTGACCCCTTCCTCTGCAGCCCCTGCGGGCCCTCCCCATCAGCCTCCTCCTCGCTGACCTTACTTGGCTTCAGGCTGCCAGGCGGCGCTGGGGTGAACTCCCCACCCTGTCCTGAGCCAGGAGCTGCACAGGCCGGCCGCCACCCAGGCTCGGCCCAGGCCCATCTGCTGCCCAGCCGGCTCTGTCCCGCCCACCCTCACCGGTGCCTCCCACGCAGGGAGTGGCCACTGGCCTTCTTGCAACACGGGACCAGTGTTGGCATCCCAGGTGAGAAAGGAAGATCTGAGGTGACGAGCGGGGGCTGGTTACCTGGCTGCCTGCCACCTGGTCCCCTCAGAAGTGGCGGTGAAGCAGCAGGGCGCTGGCGGTGCTGGAGGTCCGCTGTGAGGACACCACAGAGGAGCCTTGGCCGAGCTGGAGGAAGTGTGTGGGTGGGGGAAGGCCGTGGGCCACAAGGTCGTGGTCAGGTGAGGGAGGGCCTTCTGGAAGCCCTGCCCAAGCTCACCGCTGCACAATGTAGACGTGATCCGGGCAGTGAACCCAGGCAGGGCCGGCAGAGACGAAGACAGACACTGTGTACGCAGACAGCATAACCCAGCTGTGCATAGTCATGGGGACCAGGCTGGGCTGAGTAAAGTGAAGGGGACGGACGTGGGCATCGGAGCCGTGGCTGTGAACCCAGCACAGGTGTGAAGGGTCAGGGCCTTCCCAGGAGGGGCACCAGCCGGACACCTGGCTTGCCTGGCCCCGATGCCCCAGCCCCAGAAGCCAGGCAGCCAGCATCCCAGTGCGGGAGGATCCCAATGAACATGACCTTTCCCCTGCCTCCCAGGGGCTGTCACCCTGAGCTGTGATTCAGGCCTCCCCCGCACAGGTGAGTCACACACCTGCAGCCCTCCCGAGGCTGAAGCTGCTGCCTGGAGCCGGTAACCCTGCCCAGCAAGCACACAGCCGTCCACTCCCTGGCACCCGCCTTGGGCCCCCCAGAGCCCATCCTGACCCTCACTCCCCTCCCGAAGGCGTCTTTACAGCCAGAGCTCCTGGGTGGGAGGGAGCATGACAGCCTCCGGGGACACTTCCCCTCCTGACAGCTCCGGCAGGTGGGGTGGCCCGTTTGACACCTGTTTGAAGCCTTGGAACGGTTTTGAGGGGCTGGCAGGTGCTAATTTAGCCTCCTGTGACGTTAGGGATGTGGCTGGGTCCTCCCCCTCCCCACCAACCCTCCTCCCCAGGGGCTTCAGTAGCCACCATGGCCGCGACCTCCCCGGCAGCAGCACGACCCTGCACGTCAGGGCCACCCTCCTGCGTGTTTTGCAGTTCAGCCGTGACGGAGAAGAGCCCCCCGCCCCCCGCAGAAGGAAGGTGGCCAGGGCTGCCCTCCCCGCCATATGGCCAGTGACCCCCATTCACTCACAGGCGCTCCATCTCTCCCTCCCCGAGACTGACCGAGGGCGCACGGTGTGTACCCGGGAGGCCCAGGGAGCGAGTGTCAGTCACGGCACGCAGGGTCCTCTGCGGCAGGAGAGCGGCATCCATACCGGGCAGGGCAGGGGAGTGCAGGGGGTGTCAGAAGAGCTGGGGGCCAGGCACGTTCCTGGCGCCCGCAGTGTGTGTCACTGCAGCCATGCTCCGCTCCGTGGGCCGGGCAGCTCCCAGGAGGGTGACGACCTGGCCTGAGTGACGGAGCCTCCTGCCCGCTGACGGGTCCGACTGCTGTCGCCCGTGAGCTCCGGGAGCAGGAAGCAGGTCAGGCCCCCGTGAAGCCCGGTTCCCCTCTCGCTGGGGCCTCTCGCCCCCTGGGTGAGGTGAGGCTGCCGTAGTCCCAGCCTCTGGGCATGGCTGTGGCCGCGTGTGTGCACAGGGGACCGGAAGGCTGATCCTGGCGCACCCAGATCCCCGCGCCTCGTGTCCTAATTCACACCGAGGTGCCGGTGCCCCCCCCCATCCAGAGCCAGCCAGTGGCTGAGCCTGGACGCGAACCCCGGCTGCTGGCATCCCCGGCCGCTGTTCAGGTCTTCAGGGCCTGTATCCCAGTGGCTCCTCGCGCAGAGAGGGCCCATCCACAGGCCTCTTGGCAGCCTCCTGCTTAGCTCCTCCGAACCCCATTCAGCTTCTGTGGACAGAGGCACATGCGGCCCTGCCCAGGGCCCCACCAGCTCTCCTTCATCCAGACTCCTCCCTGTGGCAGGAAAAGCCCACGGGGCCCCAGAATGTGCCCTCATGGAACCGGCAGCTCCCTTCCCCACTTCTAGACGTCATCCAGGTGCCTAGGAGCCTGGAGAACCCCATGCAGACAGCCCCCAGCCTCCATCCAGAGCCCACACAGGTGTCCAAGGCCACTGTGGACTCCACACCCCACCACATCCAGCCGTCTCTGCGTCCTCGCCCAGACAAGGCTGGGGACGCCTGGCCCTGGTGGGAAACGGACAGAGCTCGGACAGGCAGGCCTTTCCTGAGGCAGCACTGAGCTTGGGATAGGAAGGGGACGGGCATCAGGGACCTCCACATGCACTCTCAGGGCTAGCCTGCCCCCGCTATGCAGAGACTGGGGACGCTTCTTGCTCCCCCGCTGGTGGCAGCTCTGATGCTGGGAGTGGTGGGGCCCAGAAAGATGTCTATGTGAAAGGAAGCCTTGCTGTTGGGTGGGAAGTTCTTTCTCTGTGCCTGGTTTGTGCTTCCCTCCTCCTCTGCCTGGCATCTCATCCTTAGAGAGGCCACTTGGGTGCCACCTCCTCCGGGAAGCCCTCTCTGACTGCCCTTCCCCACCCAGGGCCGCCTCCACGAGCTTGCCCCGTAATACCATTTATAACAACGTGGTAATCACTTACTCATCCGTCCCCTCAACCAATAGTTGAGGGTGAGCTTTGCCTTACTTACCACACCTGCACACAGTAGGTGCTGAGTGCATACTGGCCGGTGGATGGAGTCACAAGCTGACAGCAGACCAGTGTGCGAAGGGGTGAGTGAGGAGCTCCGTGCCGGCAGCCAGCAGGGGCCGTTGTGTCCAGAGCTGATGGGAAGAGTGGGAGGACGGTGTGAGAGATGGGGCCCCCCACTGCTTTGGGGAGATGTTTGTCATTGAGGTTCTGCAGGGCTGTCTGCCCGCCCGCCCAGGCTGGACCTCGTGGTGACTGCCCTCTCTCCTCCCTCCTAGTACTTCTCCCTGTTGCTGGTCATCTTCCTCGTTGAGCTGGTGGCGGGGGTGCTGGCCCACCTGTACTACCAGAGGGTGAGTGGACAGTCCTGCTCTCTCCCCGTCAGCACCCCCGGGAGGGGCAGCAGGGGAGGGGTGCGTGGGGTGGGGGGCGGCGGCATGCAGGGCGGTCCCAGCCCTACCTTCCTGCGCTGGACGAGATGAGGTGGTCAGGTCCCCTCCCACCAGGTGCTCTGTGGATCAAGGGTTCGAGGTCACGCCCAGGGTGATACTTGGCTGGTAGAGACAGGTGACCACGCTGTCCTTTCCCACCAGCGCCCACACATCTGACGGGCACCCTCAGAACAACCATCGTAAATTTGACTATCACCTCGTAATCAGAATGAAAATCAACAGACACAGTCAGCCCTGTCTCCATGGGTTGCACATCCACAGATTCAACCGACTGTGGACCCAAAATATTCAGAAAGCAGTTTCAGAAAGTTGCAAAAAGCAAAACTTGAACTTGCCACACGCAAGTATTTCCGTAGCATTGACACCGCATTCACGAGTTACGCAGCGTTGGCGTTGTGCTGGGTATTATCCGTAATCCAGAGATGACTTGGAAGAACGCAGGAAGAGGCCCGTAAGCTGCATCAGATACTGCCCGGCTCTACATGAGGGACTTGAGCATCCGCGGGAAGTCCGCGCTGGTCCTGGAACCCCACCCCCGGCCGTACGGACAGACAACTGCATTTAAACACCCAGTGCCTGGCCTCAGCCTTGCCGTCCCACCAGCTCTGAGCTTTCTGTCCGCCTGCTGTCTCCCTGCTCCGCCAGCCACTCAGCCCTTAGCACGGGTCCCCACCTCTGCAACGCCATCTCCAGGGCCCCGCCTTCCTTGTGGCCTCCCGCCCATGGTCCCATGTCACCGTGCAGGAGGCCTCCGCTCCAGCCATTCAAGCCAGTCATGCTCTGGGGTAGCTGGGGCGGCCTAGGGGCCGGATTGGGTGGGTGGTCTGCTGACGCTGCTCTCCCCACCACCCCCTCCAGCTGAGCGATGAGCTAAGGCAGCACTTGACCCGGACCCTGGCAGAGAACTACCGGCAGCCCGGCGCCGCCGAGATCACGGCCTCCGTGGACCGTCTGCAGCAGGACGTAAGCACCCGCCCTGCAGGCCTGAAGCCTCTGCCCTCGGTCCTGCCTCTGTCCCTTCCTGCCTGTGTGACCCTGGGCGTTCACTCACCTTCTCTGAGCTTCCCTTGCCATGTCTCTGAAATGAAGCCTCACGGGTGTGTGAGCGTTAAATACGATCTCGTAGGTACAAGTCCCTCCTGCCACGGAAGTGCTTACAGAGCCCTGGTTCTTCCCTTCCTCCTCCTCTGCCCTCGCCTCCACCACGGCTCCCCCGACCACCACCTCCAGGCCCGCCCCCTGGGTGCCCGGTGGGCAGGAGCCGGCTGTGCTGGGATCCGGCTCCTCCCATCAGCAGGGCTGCCCCCTTCCTCCCTGCGGAGCTGGCCGGTGAGGCTCGGTGAGAGTGAGATGGGGCAGGCAGAGGGATGTCGGCAGAGCTGCTGTAAGGACGCCCCAGAACTCGGGGGACAGAAAGGTGGTCTCTCCTTTCCCAGAAGAGACTCAGCAGATTCGTCTAGTGAGGCCCATGGTCCTGCCAGAGGGAGGGGAGGGGCAAGGGGACCTCGGACCAGTCCGGCAGCCACTGGCCACACTGGCTCCTTGCATCTAAATCAAAGGTAAAACTGAGCTCCTCGGTCACACCGGCCACATCGCAGTGCCCAGTAGCCACATGTGTTTAGCAGCCACCAAGCTGGATGGCACAGACAGAGCGTTTCCATCATGGCAGAGAGGACTCAGGATCCTGGTGGTTCCGTGTCTGAGAATTTGAGGCAGCTCCACCTGCCCACCCTGGACCCTGCTCCCTGCCACCCACCCCGCCCTCGCCCTGTGGGCCTGGCTCCATCCTGCGTCCACAGAGCCCCCCCAAGGCCTGAGGCCATGGTCTTTTTGCGGGGACACATAGGCAAGTAGCAAGAAAAGAGCCTGGGGGGCTCTGAGATCTAGCTGCAACTTCGTTCAGCCGAGGAGGCCCCGGACCCACTTCCCCCCGACTGGCCCGGCTCCCAGTGCGCTCGTGACCTCTAATGTAGTGGCCAGGGGCGCGGTGTACACACGGGCGTGCACACGCCCTGCTGATCAGCACCGTCTCTGCACTCAGAGGCCCTCCCACGTGGGAGCTGTGCCTGAATCCCTGCCCTGGAGCCTTGCGCACCAAGCCCGACACCCCGCAGGCCCCTGCAGTCAGTGAGAGGCTGGAGCGCGCTGGCCTGGAGAGGACGGGGGCACAGCAGGAGGCAAGGGAGCCGGCACTGGGCGTCTGCTGGAGGCCCCGGGGGACACAGAGCACGTGGACTCGGGCCCTCACACAGCTAGAGCCGGGGGGCCTGCGGGACATGGGCCCAGACTGCATCTTAGGCCTGAGGGGCTCCGGGCTGCCCCGCGTGTGCCCACGTGTCTGTGTTCACGTATGTGCAGTGACCGTGGGGGTGCCACTTGCTAATCGCCTCCTCTGTGTAGGGCCCCCAGCAAAGTGCTTACATGGCTGCCAATCTCAGGCTTCACAACAGCCCGCACAGAGGCCCATGGTTATCCCCACGTTACAGGGGACGAAACAGGCCTGGGGAGGCTAAGTTACCTGTACGGGTGACACGATGACACGAGAGGACACTCCCGCGTGCCTCCCAGCCGAGCTGTTCCCTGCTGTCC